ATATTAAATAGTTTTGAAATTAATATAAAATTTTGTATATATAAATAAAATATTTTTATCTAATAATAAAATTTTAAAAATAATTATTTAATTAAAAACTATTGATTATATAATAATTATAAAAGTTATGTGCTAATTTAATATATTTCTTATTAAAAAAAATGAAAACACTCAGAAACGAGATAGCGCACCGCCACCGACACAAAGCAAAGCAATCCAATGTGGCGAGATGACGTCAATAATTGTGTCCTGTGGTATGCGCTGGAATGGTGGAATCCAGCTTATATCTTGTGTCATAACCGCCACGTAAAACGGCAACACACGTACAGACGACGGAAATGTGGAGAAACTAAATTAAGCACAACGTGGGAGAGGAAACTTGAATCTCACGGCATGGGATTGGAAGTTATAGTAACAATTAGAATTCACTAATCATTGTGCCATGGTAACTGGGGATTCTTTGTAATAATTAAATAACATCTAGGATGCTGTATGTACTCCAAAAAAATATTTTGTACGTTGTCAAGTTCTACATTCACCATACAATTACAAGTTACAAGATAATATGCAACAAACACTCCCTGAGGCTGAGGAGATCCTGCAACCCATTGAATCTAAACACTGAGGAAAAAATTATAAGATGATCCTTGAGGCAATTTTATAGCAATCCACAATATAGATTATAGAATAACAATTATACATGCACGTAATTGCGTGTGTACATTAAGTGAAAAGAAGGAACGAATTGCACCACGGTGGATCTGAAAGACTAAATTATTTAAAGGAAGCATAAGGCATAGATTTGCATTGAATTATATTTATGAGGGTAGAGTGGCGTGATCAGAAGTGACGAATCTTCTGATCTCAGAGCGGAGCTTGTAGAAGACATGTCTCCAAGTGCCCCTGTTGTGGGAACCGAGGAGCTTGGTTTCCTGGTCGTTCATTTCGAGATCTGTGGCAAATATGGGTTTCCTGGAGAGGACCCAGGCCCAGCTCCAGTCCCACCATTTCCTTATAGAGGTGCCCGCATAGTCACCCATGGATGAGAGGGACTTGGATCTGGGAAATGACCATGTTGTTTGAACCGGGGTGCCTTGGATCTTCAGTGATAGCGAAGAAAGACGTCTACGAAGCCCTCCTGAATCTGAACGCGACACCGGAAGCGATGCCTTTCTACTGCCAAAGAAGTTCTCACCGATGGAGCTCATGATTTCACTCGCTGCCTCTGCCTCTCTTTCTCTCCGTTTGTGCTCTGCCTCTTCTCATTGATGAAAGCTAAGTTTTCCTAATAAATACTATATAATATTAATGTCATAAGCTAGAGTGGTGAAATGGATCGTTCACAGCTCTACCACAGCCTGTTTTATTCTTTTTGTGGGGTCACTCTCCACCCATTGCCTTGTGTTGGTCATGTGTTGCTATTTTACTTGTTTTCTTCTTTAACTTTTTCTTATGCTTGGACTTGGACTTGTCTCGTGTCGTCTCATTGAATCCAATGACGGTTTGGTGAGGTGTTTGTATGTGTATGCCAATGTAAATGCGCGATTAATAGATCCAGAGGAGAGCAGTAAATGGTTCATTGGTTGCCAATCTAATTGTCGGCATCACACCATGTGGTTCAGCTCTAATGTAACTTCTAAATGCCAAGCTCTTAAACAAAATAAATATATATTACTTCATACATTTTCTCCTAATATAGCAAAATTCATCATGAATAGTTATATCATGATCCACATTTGTCCTTTTATTAACTTTTTTTTCTTCCATAAAATACATTAGTCTTAAAACTTCTATATTTTAAACATTTATTTATTTTTATTTTTTGTGTTATTATCTCTTAAAAAATATGGAGAAGAACGTCTCTAGACTAGGTGCTTGCACATCCCTCTTACAATTCTTCGAAAGATCCTTTTTTTACTGTACTTTCTCAATCATGTTTAGGCCATTTTAATGACAATTATTTTATTATGTTTAGGATTTAGAATTTGATGATAATTACTTTTTATGTTTTATTTTGTGTCTTGTTAAAAATTTCACAATGGAAATACTATTTATATTAACTTAAATAGTGTCATATCACTCACAAAAAATGTTTTTTTTATGTTCGTCATTGAATGATGAACTAACATCTTCCCATAAAAGTTAATTATTAGATAGGTATAAATTTTAAACATTAACTTGGTTGACATTGAAAACATTATCATCATCACGAGTGAGTACCTTAATCACAACAATGACATTACAGAGCTAATCATGCATTCATCAACATAGATATGCATTTTATGCTTATCTCAGTAAACATATGAGAAAGTACTATTAGAAATATTTACTAAATTGATGCATAATTTATAGCATCATAACAATATTTATCAATTGTTGTAAATTATTTATCTCTTATAAATATTTTTGTAGTGAATTTGTTATCACAATATTTTTCATGTATTTAATTGTGTACATCAAGAACAACTCTTACACCAAAATCCTTCTATGTCACTATTGCCTTCTAGATGAAGCAAAAATGATAGTTATAAAAATTATAAGAGTCTAGTGAAATATCATATTTTCTATTTTTAAAATCGCAACTTAATAATCACTCATTACATTATTAAATCAATTATGCATAAAACTTAACACACTTGCTTATTGGACTTAACCCATTAATTAGATATACTTATATGGTGATTCCCAAATCTAAAATAGAACACATAATAAAAATGAACTTTACAGGAAAAATATATGTTAGGTAACACTCAATGTATTTTATCATGTAATCCACTTTGGATTGGAGAATTACCATGTAAGTATATTTAATTATTGGGTCAAGCCCAATAAATTTGGAAATTTAGGGTTATATTATTTATAAAGATCATTTTATTTTCAATAAGAAATGTTTTAACATGGTTGAATTGGAAATTGCAGGTTGTCACTACAATTTTGATTATGATAATGGATTTATCATTTTTCATCTTTTGTTAATGTAATAGCTAGCAAAAGATGTTGTTAGATTTTTGTGAAATCATGAAATTAATTCAATAACAAATAAAAATATGACTATTGAGTTTTTATACTCACGTGCATAGCTTTTTTATTCAAATAAAGAAATGTCATTTGCTTGTAAATCCAAAAAAAAAACACACAATGTTTTGGAAAGCTAAATAAAGAGCTAAAATTTTCATGAAGAGATTCATATACAATCCAACATGGATCATATAAAAAAATTAGGCTTAAAGTTAAAATTGACATTCTAGCTAATTAGCCACACATAGGTGCAATATTTTTAGCATATATCAAGTTGTGAAAGTCAAGATGACACAAAGCCAATGCAAAAAGTTTCATAGACAAAATTATTTGTAACCTTCGTGAAGACACCAAGTCAATAATCTTATATTTTAATAAGTGTCCAACTTGGGAAAAATCTTAGGAGGGGCGATGATTCTAAGCAAAGGATTTAGGATGATTTTTCCTCTTCTCTTTTCTACCTTGAGCTTGGATGTTCCTTTTTTCCTTTTTTTGTTTTCTCAATGAATATGAGTGAATATTTATTTTCTTCAAGAGTGGCATCCTAATCTTGATCTTTATTAATGTTTAAGTAAAATAGTTGTATTTAAATAATTTTAATTTCTCTAATTTAAAAATAAATTAATTTTAGTTTTCAAAATAATTTACTTTAACATTTAAAATAATTATAAATTAAGCATTATCTAAATCACTTTAAGAACTAAAAATGATGTATTTTTAAGTTAGATGAATCCAAATAGAACAACAAATTTGTTAAGGACAAAAATCTAACTTGATAAACTTTAGAAAAATAAAAATATATTTTACTCTATATTTAATTTTATATTTTTCTTTCTCATTTATGTATGAATATTTTACGCATTATTGTTCAATTAACAAAATTATTCTCTCAAACATTTTTTCTCTAAACATTTTTAATCACTTATTTATTTTATTTTATTTTATTTTTATATTGGTTTCTATTGACATTCTTTTACTTTTATTTATAAATTTAATTTAACATTTTAAAATAATAAAAATAATCTTATATTATAATTTAAATTATTTATTATTATTATTTCATAATATAATTTATATATATTTTAAAAATATATTTATTATGAAATTTAATAATTAGATAATTTAAATATTAAAATATTTTATAATAAAATTTAATTTTATAAATATTTATCATGTGTTATAGATAACTTAAAACAATAATTTTTTTAATTATTTTTTTAAATAATTTGTAATCTTTGTTATTTAAAAAAAAAAAAAAACTTTACGCGTGGTAAGAGAGATTGCTGAGTAAGATAGCGTGGCACTGTTATAGTTTCTGGGCAGCCGAGATCTGTTGTCGTTGCATCAAGGGAAATAAGAGTTTAGAGTTTGAAGTTTAGAACTCTGTTTTCTCAATGCACAAAAGAGGGTTCTTTTATAGAAAACCTAGATACTAAAAGACAAAACAAAAGACAAAGACACTTATGCCCCTTCAGTCAAATGAGGTAATTGCTACCCCACATTTACTCTTTCACAGGGCGACAGACTCTGACAGAAATTAAAAGAAATTTAACACGCCTTATCTTTTGAGAACTAAAGTAGATTATTTTTAGATAAGGGTTTTGTAGAGACAGCTGTCTTTACTGTTGATGATGTCCTTTTGTCGAGATCTTCTTCTATTTTGAGACTAACATTTCTTCATCTTCTCCGGCGTCTTGCATTTCTGATGATCCAGCCATAGACTATGTATCAGTGGGTGTTTGTTGTCCAAAACATCCACCGTCTTCATAGATTTCTTTGTGCCTTTTTTCTCTTTGAAAAAATTGCACGAGTTTGTTGTTGTTTTCTATTTGAAAGGGGATGAAGAAATTTCCATTTTCAGTTGGGAGAAACAACTTTGTGTTATGCGACTCTTTAATTAGGTTGAATTCTTCCTCATCAGTAGTTGAGAAGAACCAATTATAACCCATTACTTGAGCCCTGTATAAGCAATACTGGTAGTGAGAATTGCCTTGAACATCCCATGATTCATACCCATCATGGTATAAAACTCCTGGATATTCTTTATGTCCTTCAGTAAGTAGCTTCATTACATGAGTTGGATACTGGTTTGTTGAAAAATTACTTGGACAAGTAACAATCTTCACGGTAAGGTGGCACATGAAAATTGCTTGTATTGAGTTGATGGCTTCACTGATTGAAGGGTCAAAACCATCAAATTTTTCAGTAGGATGAATAAGAACCGAGTCTAAACATCCATAGTCCAGTAATGTTTTGATATTGATAGGCAAGTCCTCGAAAATGACGGGCTTAAAATGTTCTAGATCAAGTTTTGCTTTCCTGAACAAGAACTTGATTTTACAGGGGCATCTCCCGTTTCTGATATCTTTGCAAAGGGGAGATTCTTCTATACAGGCAAACCTTTGATTGAAATAGCTCTTAACTGCTACATATAAACCTGTAACTGAGTGAGGCTCCCTGTGTGCTTTCAACAAAATTTTTTGCAAGATCAAAAACTTCTTCAGGTTTAATTCCTGAGGAGAATTAGGGTTTTGTCTCACAGCCTCCTTAAACGAATTTGGCTGAGGTTTTCGCAAATTTGTATGGATGACATTTGTTTCAGGTTCTGGATTTAGAGCCCTTTTTATTTTTGTCATATCAGTGGTATCCAGTTCCAAAGCCTTTTCTGACTCCTCTCGAGAGTAAAAGCCTTTGTAACAGGGATTTTGTAAACCTTCTTTGGCAGTGCACAAGTCGGTAAAATTTGTATAAATACCCTTATAAGGGCCAGATAATAAGACAAAATATGTGTATCCTTTCCCAGAAGGAGAGGCTTTGTTTAGGAGTGGAACTCCTTGATTGTCTGTTATACAAAATTTATACAAGGCACATATAATGCCTTTCTTTATTGAACAAATTAATTGTTTCTGTACATCTGGGGATGTTACAGATGTTGTCAAATCTGTAGTTGAAATTTTCATTTGTGATTTATCTAACAGGGTCAAGAAATTCATTTGTCAAGATGGGAAGCTCTTGGTTCCCAAACTTCATTTTTTGTCGAACACTGGGGTATGAGACCTTAGAGGGTTTCATGATTTGTTGTTCCTGCAAAACGAGATAAAATATCAGCAGCAATATTTTTATTTCCTTTAATATGTTCAAAGTTTATTTGTATCCCATTATGATAGACGTGTTCTTGAAACAAAAGCCATCTTTTATGGGGTTTTTTGTCAGATTTTATTTGAGAATTACCATAGGCAACTATCGCTTCACAATCAGTTCTGATAGTAATCTCCTTTTTGTTAATTAAAAATAGTTCAAAAGTTTTTAAACTATTTATAACAGCATTTACCTCGTAATCTGTAGAAGTAGAATATATCTGAGGTTTTGTGTGATATTTTCCTGAAGCATATCTACAAATTTGTTCTTCAGAAATATTATCATATATATTTTTTTTTCTTTAGGATAGCTCCCCATCCTAGTTCGCATCCATCACATTCAATTACCAAATAATCTGAATCTAATGGTAATGCTAGAGAAGGCAAATTTTTTACCATTTCTTTGATTTGTTTAACCAATTTTATATCTTCAGAATTAAACTTTCTTTGACCTGTCAAACTGGTTTTATTATACAAGGGTGCAGTAAATTTACCCAAGTCTTTTACAAAAGTTCTTGCATAATTTAGAAGACCTAAAAAGGCTCGAAGCGTTTTTACATCTTCCATTTTTTCAGGAAAAGCAAGAATTTTTTGTGAAACATGAGGTTGGAGTTTTATTTTTCCATTCCCAATTTCAGTTCCTAAAAAGGATATATGAGTTTTGCATATTTCCATTTTAGATTTTGAAACAATTAGACCATATTTTTCAAATAGGTGTAAAACTTGTTTCAAGTGAAGAAAGTGTTCTTCTTTTGTTTTTGAAAAAACAAGCACATCATCAATATATGTACAAGTGAATTCTTTATAATCTCCAAAAATGTTATCCATTTTTCTTTGGAATATTTGTGGGGCGTTTTTCAAACCAAAGGGCATTACTTTCCATTCGAAAAGTCCTTCAGAGCAGGAAAAAGCAGTCCATTTTATTGAATCAGGGTGCATCTTTACTTGATGAAATCCTGATTTTATATCGAATTTTGAAAACCATTTTGCTTTCTGGATTCTATTTATTAAAACATCTTTTGATGGTATAGTATAACCGTCTATATGAGTATTATCATTAAGACGTTTATAATTATAAACCATCCTTGTTTTTTCCCTTTTTTGTTCGGAGTGTTTATTCACAATAAAAGCTGGGCTTCTATGTGGGCTTGTACTTGGTTCAATAACCTTAAGATCAAGCAAAGTTTTTATATGAATCCTACATTCCTCTTGTTCGAAGTTCCCATAAGGAATATCTTTTGTTTTTATTATAAAATCATGATTTATAATATCTAATTTGCAAATGACAGGATCTTTTTTCCAATATCTAGTAGGATCTTCTCCTATTATACTAGATTTGTTTAATCTGTCAATAATTTGTTGGATATTGTCAAAAGTTATAACCTTATTAATCTTAATGCAGTTATAACAGTCAATATTGGTTTGTGTTAGAGCCAATTCGTAGAAATTCTCAACATCATAGTGTCGAGTATTTCCGAGTTTTTGTAATTTTTTACTCGAATTTCGGCTTCTTTTATTTTACAACTGCCAGTTATCTCACACGGACACTCAGTAGTTTTTATTGAGGGGGTATCACCATGCTTAGCTCGTAACTCTGATGAGATTTCGTCTAAGATAGGTGACATTTGAGCTTGATTAGAAATAATCAAGTAATCTTTTGTTATGGTTATAGACCTGTTTTCAGCAATAATAAAATCGAGGCCTAAAATCATTTTTGCACCAGCAGGTTTTAAGTTGATAACATCTGCTCGTGTCATAAAAATTTTTGTTCCAAAAATATCACAATTTGTAGAGAGTTGAACCGAGAAATTCTTGATTTCTTTATTATTGATGATAACATCTCCAGACATTGTCCTTGTTTTAGTGGCTTTTTCGCTTAGGAAAATATTTTGTTTAGGGTTTAGAGTTTAAGATTTAATTTTAAAAATAAATATTAAAATATTTTATAATAAAATTTAATTTTAAAAATAAATATTTATCATGTGTTATAGATAACTTAAAACAATAATTTTTTTTATTATTTTTTTAAATAATTTGTAATCTTTGTTATTTAAAAAAAAAAAAAAACTTTACGCGTGGTAAGAGAGATTGCTGAGTAAGATAGCGTGGCACTGTTATAGTTTCTGGGCAGCCGAGATCTGTTGCCGTTGCATCAAGGGAAATAAGAGTTTAGAGTTTGAAGTTTAGAACTCTGTTTTCTCAATGCACAAAAGAGTAAAGCGTAGATCTGTGTGATATACACGAAATAAATGGAATACCGGAAAATCAAAAATGAGGTGTCTGTGTTGACGAACAATTATTTATCACATTTCTTTCATCAACTGATTGATTTCTTCAATTAATAGTACAATAATGTTGATTTTGATGCATTGTTGTAGGATGAAGATAGGGATCCGGTGGTTGAGGACGTTGAAAAATCATTTTCGTTGTCAGGTGCCGGTATGCTTTTTAATCGCTTCTCTAGGTTGGATAGTTGTGTTTATGTAAAATCCATTTCGTGTTTCTACTTCCAAACGAACATTTCCCCTTTTATGTTCTCCTCTACCAGTCCCAGATAACAATTTGCCTTCCGGAGGAGAAACCAAAATTGACAGCCACAGGACGAAAGCAAAGTGGAAGCGCAAGTATGGCAGTTGACATATAATAAGTGAAATTCAATTCTTGTTTGATTTCTTGATTATTATCTCTGTTGATATAGGTCAGTTGTTACACTTGCATTGACTATTCTTACAAGTTCGCAAGCCATTCTAATCGTTTGGTCCAAGAGAGCTGGCAAGTATGAGTATAGTGTCACCACTGCTAACTTTTTGGTGAGGATATTTCACATCCTGATATCCTATTCGCTCATTCTGTTATTTTTCTTTTACTTGTTTGTACTTCATTATCTTTTATAACTTGGTGTTGATCCTTAAAACTTAACGTGTTTTATTAATTTATTTTGATTACTCTTTTGGTTATAGGTGGAGACTTTAAAATGTGCTATATCCTTGGTGGCCTTGGGAAGAATATGGAATAAAGAAGGTGTCAATGAGGACAATAGGTGATCTTCGATGACATTTATTTATTTTTATAGATATTTTAAATACTACTATGTCTGAACTACTATGCAATAATGAGGAGCAAGTCATGGAATATATTAACAGTTGATTGTATCTTTATTTATAGCTGTGAAGATTTTTAACCCAATCTTTTTGACATTTTTGGAACTGGATTAACATGACTGTTAATTGCATTTGTAAGCTCTTGGGCTTCCGTATTCCCTGAAGAAATAACCTTGGATGGTTAATTCTTAGGAAGAGACAAGTAGTTGTGTACCTTGTGAATCTGATTGACTATTTAATTCTTTGCCATATACAAATAAGCACAATTGCACTAGGTAATCAAAGCATATGGGTTATATTATCTTACAAGGTAAATTTTGAAGATAAAAACTGTCTTAATGAGATTTTGAACTGTATTCCCCATGACTGCTCCATCACTACTTTTTGATATTTTAATGTTGAAAAACAGATGAAATTCTTTTATATGGTATTATTTTATGAGTGTGAATGGGGGAGAGTGTGAACAGTGTTCTTTAAGAGAAGAGTTCATGAGGCTAGAACTTTAATGGTGTTTTGAGTAGGCAAGTGGGTTCTCTTAAGTTGTCCTGGTGGTGTTTAGGTATTTGCAACTTCATCTTTTTATTGAAGCCTTATCTTTTTCCCTTGTTGGTGTTTTATATAGAATGAATTTAAATAACTTGATGTGTATTTTTCCTTGGACCTAGGTTGACTACAACCTTGGATGAAGTTATAGTGTATCCTATTCCAGCAGCACTTTACCTTGTCAAAAATTTGCTTCAGGTTGGTGATGGCGAGTTTATGTTTGTTATAGTGGCAATGGGATTGTTCTACAACTTTGTTATTGCAACATATATGCTTTCAGAAATCTGATTGTATTTGCTTTTCAATTTTATGGCAGTATTACATCTTTGCATATGTAGATGCTCCAGGCTACCAAATATTAAAGAACTTAAATATAATTAGTACAGGTGTCCTGTACAGAATTATGCTCAAGAGAAGGTAAGTCTTTTGTTTTCTCTTATTAAAATGCAAGGAAAAAATTGTTGTCATTTCTTCTTTCATGAGAAGTGTTAGTGAAGGATCAATTCAAGTCATATCCTCTGTATGCCAAACTTTTATGTGGACAAAAATAAGCAGGAAAAGCCTCCTCCTTCCCCATCTTACTTTCACTTGTTTTATAGTTACTTGTGTTATGGAAATGTTCTATGAACATAACTAACCGCTATTAGTCTTTATATTGGATATTTAACTGTTTTAAGCCTAATGACTGAGAAATGGTACTATTTAGTTGGACTGATTACATCACCAAAATTCATGGTTCTTGAGGCTGTTTTGGATTGTGTTCTTGTTACATTTCAGATTAAGTGAGATTCAGTGGGCTGCTTTTGTTCTACTCACTGCTGGGTGCACTACAGCTCAGTTGAATTCAAAGTAAGAATAATTCACGCCTAACTTGTGGCCATCACTTGTGTATTTGTATGTTCCCATGACTGTTGTATATATGTTTTCTAATAATGAACGTGTTAATGAAATTTTTATGTACAAGTTGTAATGTAACAAATGAATCATAAATGATAGGTTGGTGTTGTAGCAAGTGTGACTACTAGATCTTTGATATTACAGTAACAGCTTACTGTAATGTAACAAATGAATCATAAATGAAATTTTTATGTACAAGTTAAATGTTGCTCATATCATGCAAAAGAAGTTGATGGTTCTTGACATTTGGTTCTGGGAAGTCTGTTGTACAGGGGCATTCTCTTTTTTGGATACTTCCCCTTGTCTATATCATCTTTTCACAGTAGGTGGGGAAATAAAGCTAAGGCCTAGATGTGTGTCTTTTTGCTATAATAAACAAAATAAAGACAGATGGGGTTTGTGGGTTGTAATGATCTGAGAAGAGGAAAGTGAGATTGGAAAATAGTAGGGGACAATGAGTTAGCTTGAGAATTCCGGTAGCTGAAGGAGGCTTCACAGCTCTGATGCCCGGTGTGTGGAGAAACTGCCATAACAATTGTTTAGGGTGTGTGCAAAGGTAGTAGTTTTGGGATCTTTAGGTTTAGGTTGGTTGGTGGTTTTTGTGGCTGATTGAAGTTTGCCAACAATTGAATCTTGCCAGAAAAATACGCTGGCAGAGGAGATTGGAGTTTGTCGGAAGTCTCTATTTTTTATTCAATGTTGCTTACTTCATTCCATTAATTTTAATCTGAGTTATTTTTAATAATTAATTCCATCATTTTGACATTTTCCTTTTTCTTCTCCTTATGCTCCTCGACTTAAGTTGTTACTGACTTGTCAATTTTGAATTATGCCTTATATTGATGATGATTCTGTGTATATAGTATGAATGTTGATTATTAATTACGAATATGTCTTTAATCTTGGGGTTTTAATCATTTTTTTATATAAATTCTTTATCTTGTGTTTTATCTAAAATATTTCCTATAGTGGCCATCCTGCTATTTTCTATCTTGCTATAGTGTTCTTGTGGTCTGCCATTCTCTGTTGCTATCTGGTATTGATAACTACAACTTAAAGCTTAGTAATAGGCTAATAGCTTGAGAGGGAGTGTTAGAATATCTGCAAAGTACTTCAGGGAGATAATGATCCAAAATAGAATAGGATATGTTATTTTAAGGTGAATTGTGTTAATTTAATTTAAGGCTGTGAGAAACCTTGTCTTATTCTTGAGGATTTTATTTTGCTGTTAGAAAGTTATTTGTTCTCTTAGTTTATTAGTGTTTGGAATGTACCATGAAACCTAATTCTTAATATAAACTAAGGTGGTTCTTTGTCTTTTGTATCATATCATGATACACCATGTCAGTTTCGTGTCCTGTTAGTGTAGGTCTCTTTTCTCATCCCTTCTACCTTTTTTTTCCTTCCCTTCTACCTTAAAATCTATAATTAAAACACTTATTTCACAAAAAAAGAAAATTATTGCAGATGTTTTACATTTTATTGATAATTATATGATATATTTTTTCTGAAATTTTTTTTATTGTGTTTTCAGTTCTGATCATGTTCTTCAAACTCCCTTTCAAGGTTGGGTGATGGCAATTGTGAGTTGATAACAGTTTTGGAGCTCTCATGTTAGGAATATAAAGTATTATAAGCTGAATTATGGCTTGAAACTGATCATGATGAACTTTTCCTTTTCAGGTCATGGCTCTCTTGAGTGGTTTTGCAGGAGTATATACTGAGGTAATTTAGTTTAGAGCAGTTACTTTAACCCCCTCGAGGTTTTATGAAATGACAATCCACTCCAATGTCCAATCTACAACCAAAATTATGCTGTGTACTATTGATCACTGTTGACTGATGGAATATGCTGCTTAAAAATTGTTTAATATTCAAACACTTTTTGTATTAAGTTCAATTTATTTAATAAGTCTATCTGAACTTATAAATGCTTGAGCTAAATTTGATTAGTCATTGGGGATGTGCCAGTGTGCTTAAATAAGGTTTTATGAGATCTTCTACTATAGCACTGAGTAACATTTCTTAGCGATGATATCAATCATGGCTTAATAATTTTCTTACATAATTTATGGCAGGCTATTATTAAAAAACGTCCTTCACGGAACATAAATGTTCAGAACTTCTGGTTGTATGTCTTTGGCATGTGCTTCAATGCTGTTGCAATGTTGGTTCAAGATTTTGATGCAGTGATGAACAAGTAATTTGATTTCTTCTTTCAGATTTCAATTTTCAGTTTGTTTTGATCTTTGCTCCTATTTTCTTGTGTTCATATTTGAAGAAAATCTTTTCATCAAAATGAATAACACTTAATATATGTTGTTTTTGATCATATAAGTCAGTAATCAGTACCAACTATTGTGAACAATCATGTTTATTTCCATTGTAGCTATAAGGCCTAAAGTGTCACATGAATAATATATGCCTTATGTCTTATATTGTCTTTATTTAGGGGATTCTTCCATGGATATTCTTTCATTACGGTTCTTATGATTTTCAACCATGCACTCAGGTAAATGACTAGCTTTATAAAATTTATTGAGGGCTGGACGTTTTTTCCTAATTACTATTCTTGTGTATCTAGTTGTTGGCAGGGGTGGAGCCAAAAGTTTAATTTAAGGGAGCCAAGACCCCAAAACATAACTTAGTTTAAAAATTTAAATTTTCACATACATAACATGCAAAAAAAATTAATATATATAACTAACATTTTGTTGAGTAAAAGAAATACATAACTGAGTACAAGAGGTATTGAATATACCATGCTTAACATTGTTCCCTAATATGTTAAAGTTTTCAAACGAACTGGTACAATTTGTATGAGGGTTCACAATTTGTTTCTTGATTTTATTCATTTTCAGTTTTACTCGTTTTCTAGTATTCCTTCCTTGAAACTTAAAGGTATGGGAGTATGGTGTTTATTTTGGATTTTATTCACTAAAATAAAAAGAAACTAAATATAATCACTAACAAATGATAAAATTATCATTTAGCAGCACGAGATTCGTACCATGGAAAATAGAGAGGGATTGAGTTAAGAATGAGATGAAGTATGAACTGAGGAAAATTTGAACTGTCAAAGAAGAAAACCCAATGGAGGTAGAGTAGGGTACTGTGTCTGAGAAGAAATAGAATAAATTACAGGATAGATAAAGCATTTTTTTTCCTTTTTTGGTACAAAGCTAGGGGTTGCCAATTTTTTTTGAACAGTATAAATACACCTTAAAAGTTTGGGGGGAGGCCAAGGGCCGTGGATCACCCATTCCTCAAGGCCACTATTATTGGGATTTAGTTCGTTGAGATCTCACATGATTATGTATATAGCTAAAGTAGAGCTTATAAAGGCCTGGACAATTCTAACCTCACAAGCTAGCTTTTGAGGTTGAGTTAGGCCTAGTCCAAGTTCAAGGCAGGGAGGGGAATTTGTTATGCTGAGTCGACAAATCAGTTGGGAGAGGAGCAGGAATTTATTAAGGGGGCAAAAAAGAAGGTTCTTGGCATTCTATATTCAACCATTTTACCCCTAGTTTGGCTGCTTCTTCTGTTTCTTCCTGATATGAAGGTCACTTGAGATGTGGAGTATATGAGGCAAAAAGATAAAACAACAATGAGTTCTGATAGTTGATGAAACTGTGAATAAGCAAATCTCCGGAAGGGCCATGTACCAATTGCATGAAACAGGCCTTATTTCAACTTTATCTTTGGTGATTTCTACTTTCAACTGTTGTCGTTTTTAAGCTAGTTTCCTTTTACTCATCAGGTTCTTCTCTTTTCCTGTCTCTGCCTCTTTTTATGTGTCTGTTTGTATCTTTTTCACTACACAAAAAATGTGAATATCCCTCAAGTGAATGCAAGCAAAGTTTTCATTATTTTATTTTTTTTGAAGTTTTCATTTTCTTGTTAATTTTACTAGTGTGGTATCCCGTGTTTGTTTCTTTTTGCAGTGGAATTGCTGTATCAATGGTAATGAAGTTTGCTGACAACATTGTGAAAGTAAGACTTGGGTTTATGACTGTGTTATGAGACTTCTACCACTTAATTTCATCAATAGAATTTGAAACTTTCTTGAGTTTAATTAAGATTATGGAATTTTTATAGTTGGAATTATTCATATGATTAAACATGCTATATCCAAAATCACATTTTATTATTTTGTTCGTTGTTGTGATTAAACATGCATACAAAGAGAATACTTTTCTCGTTGTATTCTTTCTAGCTGTGTAGCTTCTGTTGTATGTTTCCTGTCAGTTAAAACGGCCACTCTCAGACAGTTATAACTGGCTTCTATTACAACAACTGAGTCCCGAGAGTGCATATATAGACCTGTAACTCAGTGACTTGTACGTTTTATCAGATTCAATACAAAATATCTTTCTTTTCTTACAAATGTAATAGATGGTCACATGCCTTCAATACATAAATGGTGAAATGACAATAAAATTATGCTAGAAATTGTTGCATCAGAATGATTGTAGAATTTTAGATCTCACTTAATGAACTGCACGACTTTTATTCTGTACCTACTGTTTAAAATAGGAGCTGCATTATGATGAATGCTTTCATTAAATGTGATCTATGTGTTCTTATTGTTTTTCTTAGGTTTTTTCAAACCTTATGACTCCTTTATTAGCTCAAGCAAAAACCTTTGAAGTGGAATTCAAATTTGTGATTAACTTTCCAATTGGCACAGGTGTATTCTACTTCAGTTGCAATGCTTCTTACAGCAGTTGTTTCTGTGTTCCTTTTTGGCTTCCATCTCTCCCTCGCCTTCTTTCTGGGCACAGTGTAAGTTGCTGTTTATTATATCATGAATGTGCTTGCCAAGTTGCCATGTCATATATTGTGCTTTTCTTCCCATGATCCAAGTATTGCACATACATTAATACATCAAATTATACCAACAACTGAAATTAAAATGTTGAACTTTTTTTTAGTATTTTTATGGCTTTGACTCTTGATAACTTGTGTTAAATTTTGAAATGCTTCATTTTAATGTGCATTCTACGGGGCAATAGTTTTTAATGCTTCATTTTGCTGTTTCACATAAATTTCTATGTACCTTTTTCTTTTTCTTTTTCTTTTTCACTTGAATAAAAGTTTGTAAAATTATGTTTTCAGTGTTGTCTCTGTTGCAATTTATCTGCACTCTGCTGGGAAGATACAAAGATGATAACCATGACTTCTGCCTTCTATTTGTCCTACACTGGATTTTTTTTTAAGTTGTTGTTTAGCCTCAATAGCAAACGAATACATGTTAAACCTATTAGTTCATTGTAATAGTGTATATTTTGAAATCTATCTTCGTATGTATATCTCAACGTATATCTCAGCAAGGATGGAACCAGGCTTAAATTTTAATGGGGCAATAGCTGTTTCACATAACTTGTGCTAAATTTTGAAATGCTTCATTTTAATGTGCATTCCGTGGGGCGATAGCTTTTAATGCTTCATTTTGCTGTTTCGCATAAATTGCTATGTACCTTTTTCTTTTTCGTTTTCACTTGAATAAACGTTCAGTGTTGTCTCTGTTGCAATTTATCTGCACTCTGCTGGGAAGATACAAAGATGATAACCATGACTTCTGCCGTCTATTTGTCCTACACTGGATTTTTTTATTCATTGTTGTTTAGCCTCGAGAGCAAACGAATACATGTTAAATCTATTAGTTCATTGTAATAGTGTATATTTTGAAATCTATCTTCGTATGTATATCTCAACAAGGATGGAACCAGTCTTAGGTTCGATTGTCTCCGTTGCGCTTCTTGATGCGTGAGATGGAAGTTCCTGTAGAAGCTCTTGTTGAGGCTTTTGACGTTGCCCTGACCTGGCAATGAAATAACTTACCTCGCCCCATCCAAAAATTTTCAAGGGGGCGGGTGACTTTAGTTTAGGATGTGACTTTGTTTATGGAACCTTTACAAACATGAGGTTCTTTTGCATGATGTCAAAGGAAGGGCCGAGGACAACGCTTTTTCTGAACTCTGAAGTGAGTTTGTCGAGTAAGAAATATTATGTTTATCCAGTTTTTTGTTCTCTCAAGTCTCGACCCATCATTATTTAAATATGAAAACACTTTTACAGTTTAAAGACAAATTTAAATTTAGACAGATTTACTTTGGCTTGGCCTTTCTCTATGAAGTGAGACTCAGACTGTGTTTTTCCCCTTCCTTTTTCCCCCCGAAGTGAGACAATCTTGTCTGGCACCAATAAACGTAGGGCATCCATCCCAAGTTCAAGCCTAAAGCTAAACATCATTCGATAAGTGTATCTGGTTGTTGTAAGTAAGGCTGAAATATATTTTTGTCTATTTATTTATAGAATTCAATTTGGTTACGATATTTTTAAATGATATAATTTAGTCTTTAAATTCTATTACGCCATCTTCTCAATGGTCAAGACCCTCAAAGCAAGTAACATTTTTAATTCTAATATTCTAAAATTTATTTATTTGAGGACAAAATAAATGAATTAAAATTTATAATAAATGACTCAAAATTCTCTAAAAATATAATAAGAAAAATCAGATTTTCAAAGAATTATCACCATTTCAAATTTAAAAATCTGTTTGTCCTAATCTCACACTCACAAACTAACCCATTTCATTTTATCAAAATAAACTCGTTTCACCCTTTGATTTTTCCCTTTCATCTTCGTTATCCTTTTATACCAGTTTGCCAAACATTGTGATCTTGTGGAATGGTGTTTAAGTAATGGTGTCATGTGATTAGAGATTTTAAAATTCAATATCCAATAATGGTTGAGAGAACTGCGAGACATTAAATCCAAAAGAAAATAAAAATCTATTTGAGTACAATCAATCACAAGATGTAATTTATGTTTTCTTGTTGCAACATTAACTCTGGAGTAATTCAATGTTATTTTTCTTTTTCTCCTTAAAAAAAGAAAGAATTTGGAAAAAAATTCATGCTCGAAGTACATGCACTTATTGAAAAAAGAAAGAAATAAGGAGGAAGAAAGAGTAACAGGTGTAACGAAATAACGAATAATATGATAAAATAGAGAGAAAAATTAGAATTTTGAAGAAAAAAAAGATAGAACATTGTTATTATTTAATAAGTGTTTTAAAAAATATTGATTCAGAAATTAATAAATATTTTTTATTTAATATTTGAAATTAGGAAATTACAGTGAGGTGTGTTAATAACAAAAATAATTTTAGCATTCTTCTGGATCTTTTGTATTTTTGGGTTTTTTCAATTAGTGGGAGGGAAAAACTCAAAAAAGAGAGTTGTTAGTTAGTGTTGCGTGGGAAGAAGATGGAAGACGGAATATGGTGAGAAATGGTTGGCTTAGGATGCATAGCGGGAGTAGGAGTTCACCCGAGCTGGCGGCATCATCGAATCCTTGCTTCTAAATCCGAAGAGGCACGCTCGTGGTCTCTGCTCCCTGCATACCGCTGCCGAATTAGGCTCAGGCTCAGGATCAGGCGTCCGCGTTGTGTGCCTGAGCCTGAGCCTGACAGTAGAGACGTTGAACCATCCACTTCTACTTCGGAACAACTAGAGTTAGAATGGAAGCTCCTAACCAGACGGATTCGAGATTCGGGAATAATATCTTCATGCTTTATCGGTCTCCTCACTGGTGTCGCTGTCGTGCTTTTCAATTATGCTGTAAGTTAACTTGCCAAAACCGATACTCTACTTTCTCTATTCATATTATATATCTGTATTGTTGCCTTATAGGTCCATGAAATTCGTGATTTCTTCTGGGATGGGATTCCCAATCGAGGCGCCTCATGGTTGAGAGAAGCGCCTATTCAGGCAACATGGGCACGAGTAGTACTAGTTCCGGCCTTTGGAGGTGTTATTGTGTCTGGGCTAAACCTCCTTCGTCAGCGTTTTGATTCCGCTGTTCAACAAGATCCTTTCCTCCAGACTCCATCTACCTACCTCAAGTCTGCATCCCGCCCTTTCTTAAAGGCCATTGCAGCTTCTGTTACTTTAGGCACCGGTAATTCCTTGGGTCCAGAGGGTCCCAGCGTCGACATTGGTACTTCCATTGCCAAGGGCCTTGCTCCTTTCTTTGACAATGGAAAGAGTTCCGCCAGAATGCTCTCCCTTCTGGCTGCTGGATCTGCTGCTGGCCTCTCCGCCGGTATCTACGTGCTACTTTTACCAATTTCATGATTTTCCTTGCTTCCCTAATTTATATTTCTTATCAGGTTTCAATGCTGCTGTTGCCGGTTGTTTTTTCGCCGTCGAGTCTGTCTTGTGGCCATCGCCTGCAGATGCATCTTTACCACTTACAAACAATACTTCCATGGTCATACTTAGTGCTGTCATAGCTTCTGTAGTTTCTGAGATTGGCCTTGGCTCTCAACCAGCCTTTAAAGTTCCCGAGTATGACTTCCGCTCCCCAAGTGGTAATTTCACATATGTACTGTTTTCACCGCTTCATTCTCTCGCTCTTGTTTATTGCTTTGCTCCTTTCGTCCTGTCAAACATATCAATACGTGAAGTGTTGCCATTTGTGTATCTGTCTTAACATGTGTACTGAATTGGTTTAACAAAGCACTTTTGACTTAACTGACTGTGCCTATCTTACAAACATTTAACTACGGATGGCTGTACCTGGTCATTTCCTTACTAACTTGGTTAAATCTAGTCAAGTATAATAATACGTGGAAGCCCCTAGTAAGCTAGTCCCTTTTCTCCTCCACGAAGATTTAAGCAACCAAAGGCAAGTAAATTATCCCTTTATTAGGGTGTCAAATTGGTTCATTGAATTACTTGGCATAAATTTCATAGTATGGCTATTGTACTTTTACCTATCTGCTTCAATACATAATAACAGTTCTCCGACTATGCTCATCTTGTCACTATTGTTGTCATCGTTGATTCATTGTCAGGCAAGCTAATACTAATGATTCTTCACAGCTCCACCTTTTTGACTGCCGAAAATTTTTCTTTATTACAAACATTGCTGCTGCCACTGCTATTATTTTCATTCTTGGTTCAAGAATTGTCTATACTGCTTGCAGTCAAAATCTTTTGACTACTAAATCTACAAGAGTCACAGGTGCACAGCGTCACTCCTCATGAATCGCCTGGTTTGACCATCAGAACTTCAGAAGCAGAGCAATAAATTAATGGCATTATCATACTTTTGCATGATTTTGAACTTGAAAAAAAAAAAAAAAAAAAAAAAATCTTCTGTTGTAGTTCAGTGTGATTTCATTTGTAAAATACTGCTTATAAAAATTCAGGTTTGGTATTGTATATTCTCTATTGGTTTTTTAGTCTCTGAAACAGAAACTGAATTCTTTGTGAACATTTCTTGCTATTTTCAATCTGATGGGTAAGTTTTAAAGTTAGAGTATTCAACTTGATTTCAGAGCTCCCGCTGTATCTATTGCTGGGTATTTTATGTGGCCTGGTGTCATTGGCCCTATCTAGGTGTACATCATATATGTTGACTATTGTTGAAAATCTGCACAAGACCACTGGCATTCCAAGAGCTTCATTCCCTGTATTGGGAGGCTTATCAGTTGGGTTGATAGCATTGATATATCCTGAAATCCTCTACTGGGGTTTTGAGAATGTTGACATTTTATTAGAATCTCGGCCATTTGTTAAAGGCCTTTCCACTGACCTATTGCTTCAGCTAGTAGCTGTCAAGATAGTTGCAACTTCTCTGTGCAGGGCTTCTGGATTAGTGGGAGGGTATTATGCCCCGTCTCTCTTTATTGGTGGTGCAACTGGGATGGCTTATGGAAAATTAATTAGTTTGGCTGTTGCCGAGTCTAATCCCACAATTAATCTCTCTGTGTTGGAAGTGGCATCACCACAAGCTTATGGCCTGGTACTATTCTTTCCTTTCTGGCTATATGGTTTTTACCATTCTGTATTTTATGATTGGCATGATCGTTATTATTGGGGTTAATTATATTTTTCCAAGATGACTTCCATGGGTGTACAAATGAGCCTTTTGGCCCTTTTCCTAGAGGAACTCTCTTTTCTGTGTGTAACTAATCATGATTTTTTTACTATTTCAGAACTTTAATTCTAGATAGGGACCATAAGGTTTACTAGTTTGTTGGTAACCCTTTCTCTTCAGTTTTCTTATGTTATATTGGGAGAATCTCTTCGACATCTGTCCTGTAATCTATTCTCTAGAAGTAAATTCTTTTGTTAAATGCCTGATTAAAAGAATGATGCCCTGGGTGCAATAAATGTCATATGCATAAGTTGGCAATTTAGGCTATAAATGTATTAAGGAAAATGAAAGAAGGAAAGAAATGAAAGGTACTCTCTTTCTTTTCATTCAGTTCCCTACTTTCAAGATTTTGTGAAGGAAATGGTGTAATAGAAAACAAACCATACAACCTCTAAACTTCCTAACAAATCAGTACCATCTATTCGAACCTTACTCTTTGGTGATATCATAAAGCTTATTTTTGGACAATTAGCTGGCATGAATTTCCATAAGCCTCAATTTGTAAGAAAATATCATTTGTCAATTTTATTTTCCCTGTATTTTCGGTACCTTGTAAATTTTCTGGTGTAAACTCAAACTTGTTTACTTTTCTGTTATTGCTATAATTGTTATAACTGACTAACAAATCACTTATAACAACCAGTCATCTGCCTATCTCTCTATTATAAATAGGACTCTTGTATCGAGAGTAGGCATCAATTGTACTTGTACATTCTGTAATTTCAGCTATATACAACAGAATGATATTCTCTCAAACAATTCAGTATTCCAACATCAACATGGTATCAAGAGCCTAGGGTTTTCTTTTCTCCGCTTCAACTTTTATGACGGAAAATTCAAGTCCTACATCAACTAGAGATATGATAAATAAAGAGTTTATAAGTGGTGGACAACTCTCAACTTATAAGTTGGTTTTGTAGGGTTGAGTTAAGCTTAAACTACTTTTCTAAGATGGTATCAGAATTATTATATATTCACCCTATAAAAAGGGTCACATACCATTGATACATGCACCAAGTCCAATAATGTTGAGCGTGATGAGATGTATTGGTGAGAACACAAGTCTCGCCTATCCTAAATCATTAAAAAGGGTCACATATCATTGATACATGCACCAAGTCCAATAATGTTGAGCATGAGGAGATGTATTGGTGAGGACACAAGTCTCGCCTATCCTAAATCATTAAAAATGCCACCTACCATTTATCCACATATCAAACCTAGTAGTGTTGGATGTGAGGGGGTGTATTGGAAAAAACTTTAGTCTCACGTCATCTAAAGATATGGCAAATAAAAGGTTTATAAGTGGGAGACAACCTTTACCTTATAAGTCGATTTTGTAGGGTTGAGTTAGCTCTAAATAAGGTTGAAAATGAGTCGAGTTGAGCCGAGCTTGACTTAGGTCGATAACATTTAGCTAAGCTCGCAACTCGACTCAAGTTTGAATTCGACATGAACCTTTTATTCCATCTTGAACTTAACTCAGTTCAAGCTTTGTTTAGCTCGTTAGTTCAAATCACATGAACTAAGACTCAATTTTATTTTTGAAATTTTTAATTTAATAACAGATTTTCGATAAAACAATTTTTTTTTAAAAGATAAAACATAACTTATTCTACTAGTTTTGCAAGATTACAAGGTATAACTCTAAAGAAATATGATCACAACTAACGTATGTATAAATTAAAACTACTCCACCTTACATAAAATAATAAACAATCTAATCCATAACCATGAAATTCTAAAGTGTTCTCCTTTTTTATTATTTACTTATAACTAGGTTTTGAAAGTTATTTCAAATTTTAATAAGTTAAAATTAAATAAAAAGTTAATCATATAAATTATATATTTATATGTCGAGTTGATTTATAAACTAAACAAGTCGCACTATAAACTCAAGTTTGACTCATTTATTTATTGAGTTCAATCTTAAGCTCAAGTTCAACTCATTTGATTTATGAACTAAGTTCAACGAATTAATTATCAAATCGAGTTTCAAACTATTATTAAGTTGGTTCGATTCATTATCACCCTTAAGCTCAAACCACTTCTTTAAGACAATTCAAGCTTACATATAGCATTATCCATTGCATTTGCAATTGTCAATAGTCATGGTATATAATGATGAATAATGTTACATGTACAACAAAAATTGTATAACATTACTTTTGTGTCTATCTCTCTCCATCACTTCATTTATTATGGAGAAAGATAGATACAAAAGTGATGTTGTACAATTCTTATTATACATATGATATAGCATTATTCTATAATGATATGGCTTGAGTTTATTAGTTTTAGAACAGTCACCTATTAACATTGTTGAGACCTCACATTGATTAGAGATATAACCAATGTAGTCATTCTTACTATCCTCACTTACAAGTTAATTTTGTGAGATAAAAGTTGGAATCTTAGTCCGAAGTCCAAATTCTAAAGATGATATTAAAGTCTATTTTAGTTTTGTTATTATTTGTTTATGCTCTAGACTTCTATTCCTAAGTGTGAGGTGTTGTTATTGGGCTACTTGCATTTGGCCATGCTCCAAATGCGCAGTCTTATGTGTGAAGGGGGTGTGTTGAGATCTCACATAAGCTAGAGATATGACCAATATAGTCTTTATAAGCCTTGGGCTGTCCTTGTCGATTTTGTCTTAATAAACTTTTAGTTTAGGTTTCCAAGATTCCATAAAGGAAATGATTATATTGAACAGAATAAAGGTATTGTTTTGGGTAGTTTAATGACAAAAGTTTAGTTGATCAATAAAATATTCAGGGAGTGCATCTAGACTTTGGCTGTAACTTACGAGAGAAAGAGCATTTTCAACAACAAAGCAGTTCAAGTAAGTGATACTTCTAGACTTACGAGATACTGTAGAGGACAATAATAGTTTTCCAGGAGGCAATTCTATTAACGCTGGTTATGAAAAAGAAATTCTGCTTCTTCTGAAACATTTTGGCTGGAAGTGTTAGGGCATTGGATGAGGAAATCAATTCTTTTAGGGCGGGCCTATAGGAAATGCTAATGGTTTGCATGGTCCACAATCAATTCTTGATTCAATGGTTGTAAAGTTGGTTAATCTTTTGGAAAGGATGTATAGATAGCTTTTTCCCAAAAGACCTATAGCTATAGCACAAAGAGCAGTATCGGATTTAATATTTTCACAAAAGAAAAATATTATAATTTATAAGCTTTTACAAAATATATAATCTCATACAATATCCCTAAGTGGACCTTGCATAATCTACATCAGTGTATAGTATACCACCATAGAGAGTCTCTATCTCCGTTTACAGAGCAGCCTTCTTCTTGAGCTTCCTTTCAAATACTGAAGAATTTTCTTCACTGCCTACAAATGTCCCTCACGTAGATAATGCATGAATTGGCTATCTATGCTTACGCCATAGATGATCATATTGAAGTTCCTTTTGCAGGTTGGAATGGCTGCGACTCTTGCAGGAGTTTGTCAAGTACCACTTACTGCAGTTTTGCTTCTGTTTGAATTGACACAAGACTATAGGATTGTTCTACCACTACTTGGAGCAGTAGGTTTGTCTTCGTGGATTTCATCTGTACAGACAAAAAGAGGAGACGACAGAGGGGCAAATAAAATTGAGTTAGAAAACTCAAATTCTGCTTTACTTCCAGAAATATCTTCCGGTAGTTCTACTGAGTCATCTGCTGGTAATACCTTTGCTGAAGATGTGTCATATGTGAGTAACTTGTGTCAAGTGGAAAGTTCGCTTTGTGTAGAGGATGATAATGTTGAAACAACATATTTTGTGCGGAAAACATTTGTTTCAGAAGCCATGAAGACGAGATATGTGACGGTTTCAATGTGCACACTACTTACGGAAGTAATAGATCTCATGGTTGCTGAGAAACAGTCTTGTGCAGTAATTGTTGATATTGATGATACTTTAATCGGTTTTTTGACGCTTAGAGACATTCAAGAGTATGGTAAATTTGCCAAAGCAAGAAACAAAAAAAATAAGGTACAAGAATCCAAGTTTAATATTAATCGAATGTGAAATCTATATATTTTTTTTCAATGATGTGATATTTTGAGGCAATCTAGGTTATTTACAATTAGAAGCAAAATATTGTAAGGAGGAAAAAAATAGTCACAAAAACTTCATTGAATCTATAAATCCTAAGATAATAGGTGATGGGTATGCTATTGAAATTGTATGTTAATCATGAACTTCTGATGCCATCAGTTGCAGTTGTCGGACACTTATGATAATACATAATTGGGAAACTAAGTTCTGATACCACACACATAACTAATCATTGATTGAAAACCAGCAAGTAGGAATAAAAAATGTAGGTTCTCTGTGCTTGTAATGTGACCTGGGATGCACAAGTACAAGTTTAAAAAGTGCCTTGTGGACGAATTGCTTGAAGATATTGTATCTGCCCCCCACCCCCCCTCTCTTTTTGTATTTCTTTTGTTTCATTTGTAGATATTTGGTGGCACTATATAAGTAAAATATTCGAGGGGGAAAAAAAATTGCTGCCTATCTGGTCTCCATACAACGTAAGGATGTGACCATTTTACGATTGTTTAATCCAGCTAAATCAGTCAGAGAAATGCTTACAGTAGAATTTGGGGGGCTTTGCTAAAATCGACAGATACTACTAAAGCAAGTTCTGAAGTAAACTATTTTGTTGTTGCTTCACAAATCTGATTATTTGGTTCTTCCTCTTGCAGGAGCTTTTAGTTTCTGAATTATGCCTTTTAAATGGAGAAATATGCTGCGTGCCATGGACAGCTACGCCTGATATGGAACTTCGTTATGCTCAAATGATTATGAAGGATCGTGGACTCAATCAAGTTCCAGTTGTGAGAAATATCTATGAAAGAATATATCCAGTTGGCATAATAGACCCTGAAAGTATCAGTCTAACATGCAGGTGCTATTACTTTTTTCCAATGACTTATTTGTATCCTCTACATTCTCCTTTTAATAAACTTTGTTTTGTCATTCAGGAACGCAAATCTTTCTCAAATGTACAATATGTATTTTAATTCACATTAATTTCTTATTTCAAAAGGATTGAATTTAAAACAGTAAAGAAAAATATATCACGCTAATACAGATGGATATATACCTTGTATGTCTAGGTTTTGTTTAAACATGAAGTATCAGTAGAAAATGTAGATTAGTCAAATGCTTATAAAGATGTCAGTTGCCACTAGAGGGCAAGATTCCACTAGATGTTCCTCATAGGTTTGATGATTTGGAGTGCATTTGGAATTTATGATTTGAATTTTGAATATCTTGGAGTTCGAAGGGTAAATTTCAATGCATTTGCTGAACTGTGCTTCATGACATGGGATGCTAACCAAATGTACGACAGAATAGTGCCAAAATGTGGTTTGATCGGAAAATCATGAATTCAAACGTGGAATTCAGAGATGCAGATTCCTTAATAATAAAAAACTAGATATACTAAAATGAGTCAATGGTCTGGGAGGAAATTTAAGAAACGGAATAGGTGTAAGAAGCTTTTCAGGAGATTAGAAGCAACATTATGTTGAAAAAAACGTCGAGAGAAAAGTGGAGAATCATCCTTCATTTAAAGCATTTTGGGGTTAAAAACTAAAAAGGATATTACTATATTCTCTTCCATGCTTTTTGTTTGTATGTTATGCCTTAACGTAATTATTTGTTTTTGTTAAGTGCAGTGCTTTGGCCACCAGACAGTCCCTCAGCTAATATTCCTCGCTAGCACTTAATCACCGTTAGGAGGCTGAAGATTCTGCTTTCATGTGATATTTCTCGGTTTTCAATTATGAAACCATTTTTTTAGCAATTTTCGATTATCTGCCTTTAACACGTCAAATTAAATCATGCCACGTGGTTCCGAGGTTGTACGTAAAAATAGGTTCATTATCGTTCACGTGTTTAGTTATGTTCGATGTAAGTATATAAGTAGATCACCAAGAGAGAACCCCTGTAATCTGATGATGCTACCTGAATTGTCCAATATTTAATTTGCAGGGATCAATTTGGTACTGCAATATCATAGTACTCCCATTATGACCTTGCAATTTTTAATATAAAACCTAACTTTTTCTTTGTAATTTTTAACAGAAATCTTGTAGCATTTCACCCAAGTCTATCTTTTTCCCATTACATTAGAGTTGTAACATAAGAAAAGGCAGTTACTATTAGGAAGCATAACAAGTTTTCTAAATATAAAGTTGGGAATACTCGTTGTCCAAGTCTGGCATAATTAAAAAAAATGTTTTAACAAATATTGTTTCTCATCTTTTTACACGTTTCTTGTAAAATTATTTCTACAAGGGTAGATGAATTGGAACTAAAAGTTCTAATTTTAAAAATGTAAAATGATAGCAATACTCTTGTTAGTTCATTCAATATAATCGGTATTTTAATGTGTGTGATGCATGAAATAAATATTTATTTTATATAATTAAAATGTATAATAAATATTTTTAAATATATAAATTATATTCATCTTATATATTAATTAACAATAATTATCTCAAACTATCTAATAAGTATTAGAAGTTGTAGGCTCGCGATACCATACTAATAGTATACAAATAAATGTTCAACGTAAAATCTTGAGACATTTGATAAATGAACATTTCAGTCAATATCTTAATTTCTCTTAAATAATTATTATGATATAGTAAATTTGAATTTAAAGTTGATTTCATAGCCCATCTATGCAATCAAAGTCTTAACTTGTTAAATAAGATAAGCACATGCCATGATGATTAAAGAAAAAATGATTTCTTTTAGTACTACTATTTTGGCTCCTAACAGTGCTTAAGGTATCCCCACAAGTTTGATGCTTTTGGACTAGCTATCATACTAGTCCATAGGACTTAATCACACTTAAAGTTTCTTTCCTCTCACCAAGAGTGTATTCTAAATCAAACTCCCTCCCCCCACATATTCATCATGTGTTGCCAATTGAATTACACTCATTGAGTCAAATATTTTTTTGTAATTAAAAGTTTATATTATGACAAAGATGGAGCAAATCATCAACCTTTTTAAGAATTAAAATACAAGGGAAATCAAATTCAATCTCAAACCCTAAAATAGAAGAAATAAAGAAACTTAATTAATTGTGTAAAGTTTGTATTACAAAATTTTCTTATTAATCATCTTGCTAAATAAAGAAAACATTGAACACATTTTAAGTTTCTAAAACAATAAATATATTCACTGTAGAAAAAGAACAATAAATATATTTACTTTTTTATTTAATATTTTCTTCTTAATGTATTCAGAATATTTGTAATAGTTATTGAAACACTTGAACTTTGTTTTTTAGAATGAAAAATAAAAACACTTGGATTTTATGCAAATCAATTATTTCATTTTGTGCAACTAGAGTTAAATATTATGTAACCAATTATTGAACTTCAAAAAGTACAAAATTAAGACATATATGTGCTAAATTATTTATAAAAAAAAATTGAACTATAAAAGTTGACTAAAATACAATTAACACCGAATTGACCATAAAAAATTAAAAAAAAAATTACACAGCAAACCAACTTTATACATCATAAGAAGGCTACAAGACAGATTCAATAGACTATCAATTCCTGTGGGGAGGAAAAATCCTATTCAGGGATCATTATTGATGCGCGACTGGATTACAAAAAAGGAAAATGGAAGGGAAGTATCTTTTTCATGTTTTCCTAATCTGTTGCAATGATAATACTCCATAGTTTTTAGATGCCGTCTTTCATGCTTATCTTGATGTTTTCCACCTTAACTGACAACTCTAACTTGTGATCCTCAACAGCTTTCAAAACGGAAAGCAGGTTGGACCGATAAATTTCACACTTCCGATTTGCACACTCAAGCTCATTCATAAGTTTTCTAATATTCTTATCCATATCATCCTGCAGGGCATAAAGAAATTGAAATAAACAAAAGCATACCTTTGCATGGATGGTTGTATATTTAAAACCAATGATACTACAAAATCTGTTAGACAAAAAATGTTTTCTTTTTTCAGAAAGAATATATTTGAAAGAAATAAGAGAAAGCACATCCAGGGGAATAATAATAAATCCTCCTAAATAGAAAAATGGAAAGATACGCAATGTAAACAGTAACCAAGATTTTATATCTCTTTCACCATCATTAATATCTAACCTTCCTCAACCAAATGCACCTATGGAAGAACAAGATGGTTGTATGGACCTGTAACCACTTTTTGACAAATTTCACAATGACACGAATATGCACATGCTTCTGTTCAAACAAATAGTAGAAGCTAGAGAGTCAAGTTTACAAAATTTTAAGCAGAAGAGGATATACCCAGTCAATAGGTACGTAATTATGAGATCGTAAATGCATCCTGAAGAATGAATAACCATATAAAGGTACTTAAATAAGCCTAAATCCAGCTACTGCACAGCAAGAAAGGTTGATATTCCCACAGATCATGTAATTTTGTTAATGTATACTTTGGCTTAATAAAGTCCAAATGTTTATTTCAAATATTTGTTTAGATGATTCTCTTGTTTTTTCTTGTCACCATACCGCACAAAATATAAATCTTCCACAACCAAACATAACCTCAAAATACCAAAATACTGTGCATTTGTGCTCCCAAATACAGCAAACATAACCTCATCACCCAAAAATCACAATGTACATCATCTACAGGCAAATGTAATCAACATTAATTGCTTAAAACCCACAACTCAGACCACATCTTGAAGATTGTGCGATGATATGGAGTGCAAGTATTATTCATATTAGCATGGAAAACATTACAGATGAAAACTAGGCTCAACACAATAAGCATACTTGATTAACTCTGTCATAATTAAGAAAATTATATTAAATAAGGGGGAAAGAATGCACATCAAAATACTGAGTGCAGTAATCAGAATGGCAAAATACCAATCCCAGAGGAAAAAGGAAAACTGATGAGTAGATTTATTCATGTGTACACTCTGAAGTCTGAATTGCAAGGATGAAAGAACCAAACCGCAAAGAACTTGGTAAGATGTAAGACCAAATAAGGAAAACGAGAGTTATATGTGGAAAAGCCAACTTTGCTCAACCATGAAATTAAGATATTACTTTTCTTCTCTAAATATATTAAACTACCAATTTGCTTCTTAAAAGATAAGTTACAAGAATTTAGTCTTCAAAAGATTATTTACATTAAGTCTGTGTTTGACTCAATAAATCATAATGAGACATAATTGATGTAAGCCCAATCCTTGGAGGACTAAATTTTTTTCAAGATTTATGTTACTTGTAGCCAATTGATGTAAATATTATGTGGAAAGTAAATTTTTCCCAAAATCATTTATTCAGGGAGAAAATAATAGTCAGTTTAACGCAGAAAATCTACTATAAATATTTAACTCCCCTATAACTAACACGTACAATTCAATAACTAATATGCTCACCATAAACTACACAGAAAAGTGTTGAAATGAGTGCTTCCATGTTTTTATTCAAGTAGAACATACATTCATATATTCAGTCACAAGTCAACAGTGAGAAGATTCCAATTCCAAAATCACAGATGTAGAAGGACAACATAGGATGATTGTTGGATTCTGATTTGGAAATAGTAATCATTCTTAATTAATAGATTCTTTTGTTCCCAGGTACCATTAGTTGGACCAGGTGTAATATTGTTTATTTACCTTCTATGAAGTGATTATTTGTAAATACTAAATACAACAATTAATCAGATAGGGACTCATTGAGTGAACCTTAATGCTAGAAATATTATCATTAAATTTCATTAATTAAATTGTTCTGTTAATCTTAATTAATTCTCTTTTTAATTAATTTTTGAAAATTTGTCAACTCAATTCATAACAATCAACCTTTTGTTTGTTTAATTTAGTCAAATAGTGATAATTACAAAGTCAAACATGCGGTCCTCATGGATTCGATAATTTATTATTTGGCGACAGTTGTATAACTAAAAATTGTATTTCCTTAAGGATCTATTTGATTAAAAGGCGGGGAGGGACAGAGA